AACCTGAATCTTCAAGGAAAAAAACAGACGGCTTCAGATTTGATTGCAATAATAAAAGGATTTTGGAATAACCTTAAAATGTTCAAACATATTTTGCCCAACAAAAATTTGGCACACTTTCTTAGCAGTCTGCAAGTAGCAGAAAAATTCAAATATAAGGACCTTATTGAGAAAAGTAATGACTTTAAGTGCAGTCCACAAATCCAACTAGTTATTGATGCATTCAATAAAAGATTGGAGGAAAATGTAAGTCTTAAAACCAGTGTACTTTATAATATCTCTAGGTAATTTTTAAATATCTCTCACGCCGTTACCTTTGACCCTAACATTAATGTATATGAAACGGGATATATTTTCACAATTGCCATTCGTTTCTGTTCAAAAACAAATTAACCCCTTAATCAAGTGCGTCTTTACACTCTTGAATCTTTATACACTCACAATGAAGCGTTCTTGCAACAGAATGTTCAAATTAACTATGGCTCCTATGTATCACTTATTGACATTACAACCTATGTAATATAAAAACAGATATATACACATTTAATTTTATTTAAATATTAATCATTTGCTCAAGTGTTGTTCGTCACACTTTTGATGTTCCGTACAATGTAATCGCATTAAGTCATTATGATGCAGAATATTCGCACGGATCTAACGAGTCAACATCATTAAACACATTCGTAATTACTCTGATGCATAATGTGTTTCATTAATATTAATAAATTAAACAGCGTGCTGTGTAATTAGGCTGATGTGTAATCTGGTTGATTAACATTATTAAATGTGATGAGTATTTGTTTTCCGTACTTCTTAACTTCACGCTACTTCCCTGCTTGGCGTTGACGAGGCTGCGCCATTAGCACGCATTGCCCTGTCACGCCTGCGTGTCCTCCATTATGTATGTTGACACATGACACTTTTTATATTTTCTTTACCTCCTTTCTTCGTCTTTTTGTCACTTTTATTTTACTTTGTTCCTATCGTATTAACATATTCTAATATTTTACATTTTTATTTTTAAGTGGGCAAGGTGGTACGGCAGACTTGCAAACACGTCTTTTCAGAGGATAGTTTGTACTTTCAGTTCTCTTGAAATTATAGTGTTTCTCTTAATATCTTATATTCTAATGTTATTATTACCTAAACTCTTCAGTCAGCAATATGTATCCATGCTTATCTAATATATTTATTACTAGGGCAAATTTTAATGAAATATCTTTTTGTTTTCATTTTAAAACAATACCGTTTAGTATAGAAATTAATTTTATGTTTTTAAAAAAGAAAATTACCCACAGAATGTTCTTCACAGAATTCCTGAGTTGCGAATTCCTGAGTTGCGTATTCGATTTCGCTTAGAAACTGTAATGTCAGGCGTTGTGAGAATGTAATCTAATGTTCCTGTGACGCATATCAGCGCCATTGTCGGTTCGGACGATTTGGGGGTAAGTAAAGAACGATGTTCCCTGGCAAAGAATAGTCCAAGTCAAAATTCGGAAGCTGAGTGCACTTGAACGAATAGAAGAAGACTCAGTAACAACAAAAACGTATGCAGCTTGAATTGTTCATCCGAACTGGTTTTGATCACATTTTTTACGTCATATTTCTCCGCTTTAATAGCATTTTAAATACATTTTATGAGCATTTCCTTGATCATTTTTGGCAACGATTTATGTCATCAGAATCCGTCCTAAATTAATATTACTAAACTTATTTTCGCCTGGAAATATCAGAGCGTCCTTCCATCGCATAGAGAACACTTGGTACCTCCAAACTACTTGACGCGCTCCGCATCTTCAGCGCGAATTGCCCTGTCACGTCTGCCCGCCTCGTGGCTCGGGGGCGTGGTGGGGGGGGCGAGGGGGAGGGACGGGCGCCGGGTGAGCGAGCGAGCGCGTCCAAGGAGGCGGCGGATCTGAAGACCCAGGAAGCGCCTAGACAAAGACGAAGGCCGCGAGGAACGAAAGGCTGACGCAATGCCGAAGCAAATTCGCTGCGGAGAGACAATTATCGTACTCATCGCGAATCAATGAAACGTTAAGGAAGTTGATGGAAGGATGACTGATCACCGACCCAAATTGACATTCTTGCATCATTTTATACTTCCTATAAATAATTAAATTCGTCGGAAAACTTTGTTTGCTTTTTATATAATCGGACTTACCATTGTCTCTGTTGTGATACTGACCCAGAGGTTCTAGGTGCGAGTCTGGCGGTGGCGGTTTTCAAACTAGCTAGACAACTACGTGGAATTCAGCCATTATGGAAAAGAGAGTAGTCCAATTAAAGCGCGATCGGTAGTTATGTGGTTTCTCCGAACAATTCCAGGGCGAATTCCAGAGCAGCGCCTTGTGAAAGGGCCACGGACCGCTCGCGGACGATCCCTCCACATCATTGGCCCCTCCTCTCCTCTACTCATACATACACACGCACGCACGAGGAAAATTTAAGGAAAGTGGCTCTCAAGAGATGTAGTTAGGAAATAAAAACTAGAGAGAGTAGATATTGGTTAAATAGTGGTAAGACAAATGTGGATCTACGTGAGATGGAAGAGGAAGACTGGGGACACATATTAGAAAGATGTCGGGTTTCTAGAAAGAAGAAACTGGGGAAGGGGAATGTCAGGACGATAGGACAGAATATTAGAGGACAAAGGGTAAAAGGATCATAGGGTAGAGAATTATAGGAAACTGTACCCCATTGTATGTAGATCATTATTGTACACTACTTGTAATGTATACCAGCATGTTTTGTATGAAGCCAATCCAACTTTGTTATAGTTCGGAATTTGTAAAATAAATTCTCTTACATGCACGTCTACCACCCGCCATGTCAGGAGGGCAGTGGAAGCCAGCTGTGGGGGGGGGGGGGGCGGACGTCGCGAAGGGCAGGTAGGCGTCGGATCTCACATCCTATCGAAGGGGAAAAGTCGTCACCTCCCGGGTTATAGCATGCCCTACACTTACGGTGCTAATGACCATATCTCTTAACGCGTCCGGAAAAACAATTAATCAATGCTGGGTAGTTATTATCATTCGATTATCTGATATCTCAATTCATCACACTTTTTAGGCACACCTCACTTGAAAATGCAACATCAATCAGAAAATAATGTTGTTCGATGTTTTTTACATTCACGTTAATTATATTAGATGAAGTGATAAACATTAAAACAATAAATCGATTTTCTCACTTGATTCGCTAATGTAAGTACCTAAAACATGGGAAGGGCAGATAAATTGTGTAATGGCAAGTGTAGGGAATCGAACATATTCTGTGCTACTGACAAGGAGCATTAATTAAACATTTGTAAAAAACTCAATAATCAATATTATTAATTGCAGAAATAAGCATAACCCGAAAAATAATGGAGACAATATTTTAATTAATTGAATGGTTATAATGTATCAAACATAAAGAATCTTATTATTGTGGGTGGTAAATATATGTCTTAAGGTTTTAATTCGTTCAAGAACAATGCACGAGTTTCCATCAGCAGAAGAAATCTTCCCTAACGGTTATAATCAATTCTGCGAAGTTAGTACATATGTAAACCCTGAAAACGTATTTTACAAGTTCAGATAATTTAAATAAAGTGTGTAATGCAAGAAGACGTGGTCTACAAGCAAATTAATTTTCGCGAATCCATTGCAGAGATCCTCAGAGTTCAATGATACTCAGAGCAACGCCTCCTTTTAACGCTAATGTATGCGAAGTAAATTTGTTTTGACAACGGCTCGACGATGGTTGAAGTCCGCAAAAGGTAACGAGCATAGGTCTTCATTCGAACCTCTGGGAAATATGAGTAATACTCTTACATAATGATTGGAACACAGAAAATTGTCGCAATGACATTTACAATTTTTCTGAAAAGGAATATAAAGAACACTTGATTTTTCATTCAAACCAATAAAATTGGAAGTATAATGTAAATTACTTTTTTTAAATATTAGGTTTCTGAAAATGGGTTGAAACTCCGAGAAAATTGTACGGAAATGAGGAATATTGATGATTTGAAAGGAAATTTCGTACACAACAGTATATCTTTGTAGCATATAAAAAAAATATAATTTACATTTAAATTAGTGCTCTACAATAAAAGAGAGGTTCAGTAATTGCAAATATCTCGGCACGGCGGTTTAGTTTAGATAATAGGTGCATATTTTGTAATTCAAAAACATTTTGAGAATACATGAGTTATGTGTGAGGTTCATATTTCCTAACGAGTTGTGAACATTCAACAATTCCTCTCTCCGAGAACTCATACACACGACAGGAATTATTCAGATTTTCATCTCTTACTAAAAGCATCACAAATACGCATACGCACGCTCAATCATTAAACAGCTGTCCAATGGATCTCACTTTGGAATTATTATTGAAAATGAACTATTCTCGTAATAATGATTTTTTAATGATTTTTACGTATTTATCACAAGAGTGTCATGATTGAAAGAACTTTTTGTATTGAATCGCCCTTTGAATGTCGCACCTTCAGTTAGCGCCAAGCTGAATCACTTGAATTGATCTCAAGGATAAATGTGCTCTAATAAGTGCTCTGTGGTTCTCAACTATAGGATTATAAAATGAACTTAAAGAAACATTAAGTTTGACTTAAAAGAAGAGGCTCGGCCCGGAGTGCGCGGCGTAATGGTGAGACAGGGGGCAGCGCCTCCTCAGACGCGAGGCAACGCTCCTGCTCACCAACTCCTTCGCGCCCCATCCGGGTCGCTTCCACTTCTACCCTCTCGGCCCCTCCTCCGCCCGACCGCTCCACCGAAGCGACCACTCCACGGCCGCCATGACAGAGCACTTCTTTCCATGGAATGAAAATGGGAGCCCCAAGGACTACGCGGACCCTGTGCTCGGGGCGGGGCGGGGCGGGGAGCTCTCCCGATTACGCTGACGTAAGCCGCTCGCGTCCCCCGGTTGCCTATAAGAGCACCGGGATCGCCGGGACTCGGCACTCAGCTCCACCTCTCGCAGCACAAGCCGACACCATGAGCCGTTCCGTCGCCGCCGTCGCCCTGCTCGCCGCCCTCGTCGCCGTCTGCCTCGCGGCCGACGACAAGTACTCCGACCGCTTCGACGGCACCGTCAACTTGGACTCCATCTTGAGCGACGACCAGCAGTTGGCTCAGTACAGAGATTGCCTGGTGGATGCCGCCGACGACAAGTGCAATGAACAGGGCAAGGCACTCAAGCGTGAGTATTGATGCCCCTCTACGGTTAAATTATCTCGCCAATGCGGCGACTGCTTTTCAACTTCCTTCTAACCGGACTTCATTTTTATCCATTGATTGAGAACGCTGGCAAAATCTCTTTCCCAATAACGGGTACTCTAGAAACATAATAAACCATTTTAATTGTGTTCGCCACTTTTATTTGTACAAGTATGCATATATGAAATTACAGTCCAATTTTAAATTGGTTAGGATTTTTAACGATTCCATCCCTGCATGTTCTATCATTATATGTGTTTGGGTACGTAATATTCTAATAATAATTCACAAATGCTACCTCAACAATATTAAGCCATGGTAGTTCCTGACAAAAGAACACATCGCAAAACATGTTGAAGAGTTCCATTCTCATTTGCAAATAGTTGATTCCAGTATTCAAGTGACTCCATTTTTTCCTACAAGTCGTCGTCTCAAACCCAGATAAATTAAATTTAAGGAAGGAAGCAACAAAAATATTATTATTAATAATTATTATATAGACAGTTTAAATACTATATTCACAATATATTTAATAACTTCTTGAGATTCAACTTGGACAGTTCAGTCATTGAGAAGCGTCGGGTTTCATCTCTAGTCGGTGATTCGAAAGGTTAGGAAACATACAAGTCAAATGACCAAACTTAAAAGAAGAGTTGTGGTGAAAGAAATGTTTGCCTATCGAAATTAGTTTTTGAATTACTCCTTGACCTCGCCGGATCATGGAGTCTCAGATGAAGAAACAAGATCAGCTTCATGCTTGAGTCATTTTAATCTCTAAATATTCCAGTACTTAGTTGGCCAGTTTGAATATGCGTAGAATCGTTATGGTTGAATATGGATTTGGGACATTCAAAACTCTTAACTTTGTTCCTCAAACGAATCCTTAAATTCACATTCATTAAAAATATCTTCATTCTCCCTGTCCTAATTTAAGCTTCATATCTTTTTGCATTATGTAGCTCTAATATACGTAATAAAATGTTTATAACTTATATTCTTATTTAATAACACATAGCATAATAAATGTTTTAATTACAGTGAAACATATCCAGCAATTAATCCTGAACGATTGTTGCGTGTTAGTACTTTATTTTCGTGTCTAAAGTTTTCTTATATTACGAAAGCAGGATTCAGAATATTAGATAAATTCGGCAATCATTCGGATTCAAGGAAGTGTACTTTTCGTCCCATGATATCTTAGAGGACTCGTTCCGATAGATTGCCTTGTCATAATTTACTCAAAAGAACATCGCGTAGAATGTCATTTGCTCGTCTTCTACATAACTTCTAATGAATTTGCCACAAAAATAACAATAGAACTTTTGAAATTACAGTAATGGGACCCCCGCTGTCCATGCATTAGTTTACTTACTCTCGTTACTATTAATTAATAAATTATTTACTTAATTAACATTTTCTTATTAATCTTGTTACTATCATACTAATGTTAAACAGCTTCCCTCATTATTTCCTGCTTGTACATTTTTTATATAATTACATGTATTTCTTACTGTCCACAATAAAAATTGTCGAAAATGTAACATTCACATTTTTCAAAATATGTCTAAATCATCTAAAGCTCTTCACAATTACATGTTTGATTCTAATGTTGCAGGCATTCTTGCTGAAGCTCTCCAGAACGATTGTGCGAAATGCACTGACAAGCAGAAATCTGGTGCTGTGAAGGCAATCAAATTTTTGAACAAGAACAAGCCTGACATTTGGCAGCAACTCAGCGGTAAATTTGATCCTCAGGGAGCCTTCGCCAAGAATCACCCTGATCTCTTTGCTTAAATGTTGACGTTTGCTCTCGTTTGGATTATTTCCGACTCTCTACCAGAAACATGTTTGGCATAATGTAAAAATATGAAATAAAATATTTCCTCTACCTTTAATAAATGTGTATCATTGAAAGTCACAGGTACCTTTCCCAAAGGATACAAGTACGAACTATATTCAACTGAGACCAAAAAGGACTCAGTGACTGCAAAGAGTAAGAGTTCAATAAATGCATACCAGTTGTGCATAAACAAAATAAATGCTATCTCGCAGCTTCTTTAATGGTCACACTATGAAATTATAATTCGCATATAGAATTATTTAATGTTTAATACTATCAACTAGTTGAAATTGGCGACGCCAACGCTGTAAACTGTTTTCAAAGTATTTTCATGAGTCGACAATTTCTTTCATGCGTAGCTTTGTTCAAATATGTTCTTACAGTATCTGACATTGGACTTGCCAATTAATCATAGTAGTTAATAACATTATACTCCCTTCCAAGATTCCCAACATCCAATGCTCTCTTATGTTACCATACGAAATATGAACTGGTAATATTGCAATTTCAAAATTGTCGCAGTAAAAATACTTAAAGGTATTGATGATGCGAATAGTTAGTTAAATACAACTACATTTTTTACTTTTTTTGCTAATATGCACAAAGATCGTCCTTAAGTTGTTCTTCTGTGTTACTCTAATCCTAATATAAGATCGTTCTTAAATAGTTCCGAAAATTCTGTTGCAAAATCTAGAACTACATTTGATCCTTCCCCGGATTTACTTAACAGTTCCATTTTTTCTCATCTAATTTTTAAGAAGATTAAAACTCCACAAACTCAGTCTTATTTGGGTTCACAATTTGTGCTCTATTATTCGTTTTGTATTCGAATCTATATAAACATTAAAAGTAGATTAATTTGTATTTTAATGTTAATAAGGTATTAGTTAAGTTTATTAATAACACTTTGTGGGTCATATTCATTTGAAAATCGGTACTTGTACACTTAGAGACGTAATGAGAAGTCGAACGTAAGAACGTTCATTCATGCTCTAACATTACTCAGTTTTGTTTTCTCTGTAATCACTTGAATTCTTCAAATTGAATAAGTTCCTACTCGTAGGTAATACTCTTCGTAGGGTTCTGCACAAACACACCACACACACACATAGGCCTACGGATAACAATTAAAATGAAATATGCCGCGCGATTAACTTGTTCAAATTAACTCCACCTTTTCCCTTAAAGATGTCAACATCAGTGTTGTCTAAGTCGTGAAAGAACATTATGGCACATTGAGCGAAAAATGGCTTTGGGTACTGGAGTTCAATCAACGCCACCTACATTGATTTATTTAGGCGGCATTGATTTAATTCCCGGCATACAAAGATTGCAGAGCAAAAACACGTTTTTGGAAATGTCTTTGAATCTTCTGGCGGGATCCGAGAACAAATTTTCAGTTCCCCATCAAGAGATCGAGACGCGCTGAATTGCTCCACATACACCATGTCTCGCTTGACGCATGGAAGTGGTCTAGCCGTGAGTGACGGCGCCGCACATGTGAATATCCGCGCACTCCGAGTTGTTCAAATACTGTATAGGGATAGTAATAAAGACATTTTGGCAAACTTCCGAACTCTAGTAAAAATAATATTGATATCAAAGACTGTCTCTATCAACAAAAAATATTTCTTAGGTTTTTTTAATTTTAGGAAGAGGCATTATTTTAATAAATGTTTTAAAATATCTCTAAAGAAATATAAGAAAAATACTTTGAATTCTTGCTTGAGGACGAATATGAAACCTTTTCATGAAATGTTTATTCCTTCAATTGAAAGGTGCCAAATTTGGGTTTAACTGTTCCTTCACAATGCTTCATTTGAAATTCTTGTTTTGAAAAATATCTTAAATCGAGGTTGAAACTCAATAAAGCTTCACAAGATTCAAAGAAAAGTTGCTATTTGTAATTTTAGAATATTAAAGTGTTAATAAAAACTGGTATTTTACTTTATTATGTAACCTAATTTTGTGCATTCCATTTTCACATAAAATTTACGTCCTGGTACTAAAACAGCACATACTTTCTAGTATTATTGGTCATAATATATCGCAAGTACTGCCGTTCTAACATTTCAGCCATCACTTCAATTCCTAAAACCGAACGAAATGCGAGAAGCTCGAAAAAATTATAATTCTTTAATTTCTCTAAAACTTCAAAAGTTTAAATAAAAAACTCACACGATTTCTTGAGCTCTCATTTTGCTAGACACGAGATGATGTGTGGGATGATGAGTGGATTGGTATTCTCGACGTCAGCACTATCAAAAAATCAACTCTGAAGCTTATTTTTTGTAGAAAGAAAGAAAAAAGTGTATAAATCAGGGCGAAAATGTCATGTTAATAAATGTCAACAATGCCCTTTGCAATCTTTATTCGCAATTCAACTGCGTAAAGAAGAGCGTAGAAAGTCCAGAGATCAAGAAAACGCGTGCGTATAATACAAGATAATCTACAAGATACGAGATAATCTAATCCCATTTTGTGGCTTGTAATTTACATAACGACAATACCACATTACATTAACACAGCGTAGCCGCAACAACATTGAATTAAAAAGAAAATTAACATGAAATAGTTACAACACTTAGGATACAATTACCACAATGCACAAATTCTTACCATTACCAGAAATGTGAGCACTGACACAATAAATAATACACGTATGAGTAAACTGTTTACTAAAAGTAAAATAAAATTATACATTGATTACTTGCTGCAGACGTCATGGGGCCCAACCCTGTCGATACACACGATAAATATTCTTTTTCCAAAGCTTTGATTTCATTTTAATACGTGTTTTTCTCTTACAAAAACAAAATTAAACATTTCACGCAAAAGCAATTTTTGGATAACACAAGGTATTAGAACAGCATGTAAAATCAAACTTTTTTTTATCTGGGCTATCCGGGTGACGCCGCGTCGAACGCCGACGTGCCGACGTTTCGACGTAAATGCAACATCGCGGTCTTCTTCAGGGCTATAGTGCAATGCAGGGTATGAAACATCGGCACCTCAGCTCAGATCATGACTAGCCGCGGAAACCTACGACATCCTTTTCTTTTTTTTAATTTCTAATCATTATAACGTATCTCAAGATTTGATCCTCTACTTTAAAAATACAAATCATCGTTAAGAAAAGGCATTAAGCAGGCTAAAATCAGGATAAATGTGGTAGGGGTGATTCGTGTTACACGTCCAGATGCGGAGGGCACTCGAATGACTATTGCCGGAATCTCTGGCAAAGTCTCGAGCGTTGATATGGGGATTGTTGTGAACAGCTGCAAGAACGGTGGCCTGTGCTTCCTCATTCGATGCCCTTCTGCTCCGCAAACGAGAGTTGCGTTCCAGTCGCTTCTCTGCACAAGGTTTTTACAGATTCTCATTATAGTCATGTGCGAAGGCCACCGTCGATCTGGAAATCTTTCAGCATACAGTAATGCACTTTTCTTTGCATTTCTGCCACATCCACCGTACACCAGAATTAGATTCAGCTTTTCCTCGTTCGTATACATTTCCCCGGATATTTCTTCACTATTTCACATGTTTACAAATTTCTTCTAAATCTGGAGAGTTCCCGTTTAGTTCTGACAGCATTTCTTCTCCCCCGCCCTTTTATTCTACCTTCTTCCGGCACTTGGAGTCATCTTCACTTTTCCCACGACCGCAGGGTTGACGCAACGGAAGGGAAGGGCCTCGCCGCATGTCATCCTGAATTTCTCGTTCAGATTACGGAAACCAGCAGTCGGCGTGCGTCTTTAAAACTCTTAATTTCTCGAAAATTGTGTTATGTAACATATGGCGATAATGCAAATTTACGAAACTCAGTCTCTTCACGGCTTGTTATGAGCTAAAAAGAATCTATAGTGGTTCCTATTTAATAAATGCGAGAAGTGAGGTCAATATCTCCCAATAAGAAATGAAAATGAACTAATATTATGCAGTAGACCATATGTGCCCCTAGCTGCAATCTAGTAAAGCCGCACCTGCAGTATCTGCCAACGGCGCAGAGTAAAAATTGAAGAGCATCTGTAGGCTCGGGGCGCACCACGCGAGTATAAGTATATGCCCTTTTCTTCATAAATAAGTGTGTATGAAATTTATCTACTTGCTAATCAGAGAGAAATATGTTACAACCAAAAAGCCGACCTGAAACGACGAATTTGTAGGTGTAATTAATTTCAGAGCTTTTGTATCAGTTTGTAGCTGAATATATGAGAATTGCACTGAAAATGGGACAAGCACGCTCTTTACACGTCTATTACATAACGTGAAGAAAATTATAATTAAATAATTGGAGCGCGTTTCTGTATAAAATAATTGTTTAAATTTAAAAATAATAGCTATTTTTTAATAAATATATGTGAACCGCAAAACTCAATATTTTCGAAAAAACTTAAAATAGCCGTGTTGAAGACCTGTTCTCTGATATTAATAAGTATCTTCACAAATTATAAGAATTTGGAGATTTTGCAAAAAGCAATTGGGAATGTCATTTTATAGAAAAATGGTTGAACGTTTGGGTTTTGACCACAGCCAGACGTGAAGAGCAAATAGACGGATGTTTTGATTTGTCAAATCGATTTTTCAGTATCAAAAACACCGCAAAAGCGTAAACTCTGGATTCTGATTTCATAACGTAATTTATGAGGAAGGTAATTTACAATTATATATATATATATATATATATATATATATTATATATATATATATATATATATTGCAACAAGATTTATCCATTTCTAATTTCTCGCACTTACTAAGAAGAGAGAGCTTTGTAATCGTGCACCGGAAAATGGCGAATTTTTGTCACAAAAACTCTTATTGCCGGGCCCTGGTAAGGAAAAAGTGGATACATTCAGTTGCTAAATAAAGAAACAATATCCTCTAACACGTGGTGTAGCCAGAACTCGTGTTTTGTGCGTCCTTCATACCGAAAAATCGATTGACAGTAAAACGTCTGTCTGCCATCCGTCTTGCACAACGCTAGTGCATAAACCGTTCAGCCGATTTTCTCCAAAATTGATATCCCTCAATCGTTCGAGCTAATGTCGCGAACCCTAGAATTAGAAACCGATATTTTATTTTGGGGGTTTCTTTTCACGAAGCCCTTGAGGCATTTTCAAAAATATTACTGCAATTTTTTTATTAAATGTTGTTGAATACTGCCAAAGACGTTTAAGAGAATGATGCAGATTTTTATTTTCGTTGACATCCCCGATTTTTCGAAAATTGGAAGAAAAAAATTAAAACTACAAAATTGGGAGATAGAGATTTTTGTCTCAGACAAAACCTGTTGTACACACTTAGCTCTTCAAAAAAAGGTCATGTACAAGTTTTTTAAAAAACGAGTAGATTTGCGAATTGGGATTAAAATTTTTAAAAAATTCTCAAAAACCGCTCCAATTTTTTTCTTTAAATTTTCTTGAATTATGTAATAAGAGACAATAAATAAAATAGGGTGGTTGTCATATTTTCTGGTAATGCTCGTTTTTTGAAAATAAAAAAAAAAGTTTTCAAGTTGCAAAATTGAAGATAAAGATTTTTGCCGCAGAGCACGTCTGTTCTGCGGATGGTCGAGATCGTTAAGGTAGTAATACCGTAGCGATCTCGGCCCGGAGGATCGCGGGTTCGAGTATAGCCTCTGGCATCGTTCGTCCTTTCACCTCGTATCATAATCATATCATGCCATATTCACAGTTACCATCCGTTCAATGCAATAATGGTCGCTAACGCCCAAGATGTTGATGAGACCTTAAATAACCAAAAGAAAAAGGTCTACTATTCGAAATTAGCTCTTTTAAAAATTTACGTTCAATTTTTTTTAACTAGTAGTTTTTGCGTATGTTGCGTTTGTAATTTACACAAAAATATTAAAAACTGCTCCAAATGTTTTCTTTAAAACTTTCTCCACTATGTAATAACAAACGGTTTGAAACATGGCGCTAGTATCATTTTTCGGGTATTGCTTCCTTTTTCGAAAATTGCAAAAAACTTTTCAAAACTACAAAATTGAAGATTGATATTTTTGGCTCACACAGTCTGCTGAACAAAATTAGCTCTTCAAAACAAGGTCACGTTCAATTATTGAAGAAAAAAAAGCACTTTTGATTAATTTCTTTTCGAAATTAATGCTTTTCTTTATGACAAAAAAAGAGAGAACCAAAAAGTCTAACATGTGCACTCTCATACGACGGAACAACGGTAGCCAAATGCCTCTTGCTCGGGCCCGGGAACCCGCAAAATCAAGCCGTACTGCGTGGGCAGTTAAATTTAAAGAATGGAAGCGTTGTAAAATTTTCTCTCAAAGAGAGAACAGAGACAAATGCCTCTTGCTCGGGATTGAGAACTCCGAAAAAACATTCCGTATTGGAACGGTAGCTGGTAAGTACGAATGTTTGAAAGATTGTAGTGCATGGCCGAAACCGTAAGACGAGAGGACGGTCGTCAAATGCCTCTTGCTCGGGACTGGGAACCCCGAAAGAACATTTCGTACTGGAACGGTAGTTGGAGGTACGAATGTTGGAAAGATTGGCCCGGAAGTGGAACGGAAAGTGTGCCCATTGTTGGCAGCACTCATCGACTGAGATGTGTTGATATCAGGCGCGGATCCACGGGGAGGGGAATTTCACCTCCTAAAATTTTTCAGTAAGTATTAATTTCAACTTTTCACAAAACTCATGCACAAATATTTTCATGAGACGAGTGTAGCCCACAACGTTCTACAAAACATGCAATATGGCACCTTCGTCCAAAACATTTTGAATTTCCCTCACAAATTTCGTCTCTGGATCCGCCCCTGTGATATAGAAAGAAATTCTCAAAAAGATACGACGAAATTAATTTTTTCTCAATTTTTTTACGCAATGGTGGTATTGTGAATTTTCGGAGTTTGTCCACGCATTGATCCGCGTGTAACTTCGAAATAATATTTTCCCGTGTCTGGTGTGCTCCACTCAATTTCTCGTTAATGGGTACCTATATACAAATTTTCAAAAAGATACGTAATTAATTTTTCTAAATTTTTACGCAATGTGGGTAATGTGAATTCTCGGAGTTTGTTCACGCATTGATCTGCGTGTAACTTTGAAAGTAATATTTTGACTGGAATCTGGTGTGCTCCATTTAATTTCTCATAAACTGATGCATATATGTACTAATATTCAAAAAGATACGACGAAATTAATTTTTTCTCAATTTCTTACGCAATAAGGGGGGGTGTTATTGTGAATTTTCGTTATAATATTATTACATAACTATTACTAAGGGCGATAAAGTATGTGCTGTTTTAGCACAACTAGTTTCGTTACCATGGCCCGGTTTTTCGGTAGATAATTCGCCCCCCCCCCCGCAGTATTATAATAGTTTCTCTAGACTACATAAGCAGTAGCGAGAAAGTAAAAGTAAAAGTAAGTAAAGAAAGGAAAAAATAACAAGAAGACAGACGATTATACGTTGATTGTTAATTAGCTGTTTATGATGGTTAGTAGCATTCACGTAAAGATAATGGAATTCTATCTAAAATATCAACATCCGACAATTCTGTAGGAGTCGGAGTTTTGGTCTCTAAAACCCTTTTAGAACCTAAAATTGGATCTTAAAAGGTGAAAATATGTAATATAAATGGACAAGAAAATAAATTGGTCACATACATTTAATTTATCATTTACTGTTTTACTAAAAACATGAGCATATTTAAAGGAACAAGTTGAAATGAACATGCTAAAACATCATTGACTTTCCTCATTTAGAATATTTACACCCACAAATGGTCTTTTTAATTCAACACTGTGACTTTTGCATGTTTAAATGTTGAAATAACAGACAATCATTCATTGTCTCTTTCTCTTTTGATACACAGGACAGCTGGGGTAATCCAGGATTTTTATTTAATACAAAATTCAACTTCAGTCTCAATTTACATGCAAGAATGTTTTTTAGTTTATTCTTTTCAAATTCAATTACATTCAACAGGTATTTTTTGGCTTCTCCAGAATAATTAGAACATTTTAGGCACTATAAATTTTCCTTGATATCATTAAATAATGAATTGTGTTTATTATTAACTTCAAGGGTGATCATTAAAACAATTAAAATCCAAGACCACACAAGGAAAATCATTATTTTGATGACATTCATCTTGCTCAGTTGGTATCATCCAAATGTGACAGAACTGCTACAACTTTGTAACAGGTGTTAGTGTACTACTTTCAGAATGGAGAGGGTACTGACAAAATGTAGGGTGCACAGTGAAGGTCAATGGATTGAAATAAAACTCCCATTACTTCAGGGAGGAAGACAAAGACACATTTTTCAGATATTGTTCAATTAGGGACCCAGGCACCATTTTTGCTCATCTTATGACACAGTACCAATGGCATGGATTGGAAATGTGAAGTGTGGTGGGGAGACATACCCAACATAATAGAACTAGTATACTTGTGTAAGCAAGTACAACAAATATCACAAGTCACTGTTAATATTTTCTGTGGAAGTTAAGCGTATTTCCAATTTATTTGGGAATCTTCAGCCTTTGGGATGTACATAAAGCAACATAAATCCCAGCAATAGATAAGATACAGACATTGCAATTTAAATTATTCATAAAATTAATTTTGGGATAAAAACACCAGTACTTTACGATTTAAAGCAGTTTATGACAAGTGATTGTGAAGCTACAAGAGGAGTGATGTCACATTTTGTATTCACGCTTTGCTCAGTTTGTCCAAATGAAGTATAAATACTGCCTTGAGTCCTCTTATATAAACTTCATCCAATTTGTCTTTAAATAACTAATCGGCACACAAAATACCATGTACTGCCCTTCAATATTAGAAAATAGATCATTATAAGAAGTGAAGATTATCACAATTTACAGGCCAGAAAGTAATAAAATATATTCAATTCTCAGATCAGATTCACATTCAATAAATCACAAATCAACAACAGCCTTTGGAATTGTTAAAACAAATGAAAAAGTAACATTTAAAAGGCATGTCTCACTCATGATGTTTGTTCATCTTAATAGGAGGTAACAAAATATGTATACCATAAAATGTACTATATATAAAAAGAATGACAACGAATTGCACAAGGGTGTACACTGATTCATAAAGTAACTTTGGTGAAAAGACAGACCACACAAACAAATGATGTCTTTGGAACATCATCAGCACTAGATAGACAGTGACCGTGCATAGTCTATAACATATCACGGTATGGAAAGCTGTTTCCATATGATCCAGTAACCTAGAATGAATATGATAGCAATAAAACAAAGTAATGAATATGAAAAAATACAAAGCAGCAAACACACAAAAATATGTAGTATTAATCTAAAATTCTAAATAGATGAGATGAAGAAATCAAAGTATATTTAAGCCAAGTAAAATAAGTTTTCAACAAATAATGAATTAATTATACATTCATTAATTCATTTAGCAACTAATTTTTAAATTATAAATGTTCAACTTCTTTGTAAATTCTAAAAACAAAATTTTCAGGATTTCCAAAATGAAAAAAAAATGAAAAATTCCTTTAATAAAATGCAAAACTTACATCTAAAATATCGTATTTTAACATGCTAAATACATCACTTTTCTACATCTCATAGGGTTACCAGAGACCTATTTGAAAAAATCAGGGTCATTGGATTAAAAATATCAGAACATTACACAGAAAGTCAGAACACTTTTTTATGAGATACAAGTACAATTTTTTTAACTACTACAGAAGAAGGACAATTTAAATATTAATTCTTCACTGTACAGTAAATTGTGACTATGGCGGCCATTTATGATTAAGGATTCTTCCTATCTCTGTTTCCCTAACAATATAAGGGTAAGATGTATTTATTGTTCTTGTAGTTAGAAACACTGAGTTTCCCCTCTAATTTTTCTTTTTTTATCTTCAATTTCTGTGTATTTGTGTTAAAAATATTAAAACTGCAATAAACAATAAATAGATGACGTGGACTAAAAAATGAGGACTTTTGAAAACAAATCAGGACAGTCTGGACAAAGTTCAAAAATTAGGACATGTCCTGATAAATCAGAATGTCTGGTAACCCTAACATTTCAACTCATAAAAACATTAAAATAAGTTTTCAAAGACAAAGAAATTAGAGGACATTAACCCACCAATGAATTCCTCGGCTTTTTGCTTCCCATACTAACTGACTAACAAGAAGAAGCAGGGATAAAACCGGTGCTGCAAAAGTATTGACCACTAGGTAGTATCCCACCACAAATGGATTGTAATCCTGCAATCCAACATAACCTGATGCCACATCTACAGTAGCAACACTGTTTGAATTTCCCTGTAACATATTGGCACAGTTACCACTGACGTAATAAAAAAATTAATCTTACTTTTACACGAAATTGAACCCACAAATTATCTAAATTTACTTTTTAAATCAAAAAATACATGAAAGATGTTTGGGAAAAGAAACAATTTTCCTTGCAGACTTTTTCAAAACTCCAAAAAACTACAAAACTATAATAAGTGACTTTCCAGATTGTGATCAAATTTTCCTGATCTTTTCTGATCAAAAAGATCTTGGTCCAAAAAATTGCGTTTGAATATAAAATATTTTCAAGCATATATTATTTTTTTAAATAATTTGTAAACAAAGAAAGGTAATTCTCTTAATGGCATTGTTTTAAACAATGATATATGGGGTTCCGTGTTCAAATCACTCAACAGCTGACACCCACCATCATCGATCTACACTTTTCCTTGATCACACTCATGATAAAGCTAAAAAGGAAATTGACTATTCTCTTCAAATATAGATCTTGACAGTAATTACACTGATATATTTATTCCATTCCAAAATTTATAACATTCTTGTTCTTAAAAATATTTAATATACACATTTTGGTTTGCTGTTTACAATGCAAAATTATTTAGTTGTTGTTTTCAGTCTCAACAGATTTTCTCACTATATGTCTATTTACATTTTGTACCAAATATTTTTACTAGAGATCTCAATGGTTAAAAGTTAAAATAAAAATAGATGAATGTGAAAAAATTAAGTCATATTTTATCATGTTCATAAATAGCTCTTTCTTTAAGTCATGTATAACAAAGAAAGATCGAAGAAAAGTAAAATAAAATAATTTGGCTTTAAATACTATTTTGTTTTAAGAAACAACCACCTTTCAATGAGCCAACAAAATTGTGAAGAGCTGTAACATATTTTTAAACATTTAGATGCTCACAGTAAAATAACATCTTTATAATCAAATTCTCATAAAAGATATTGTCCACAATATATCCTCCTTTTGACCTCCTCAATATTCTCTGTATTATTGTGTGTAATTTTATAATTTCTTTCTTACCTGATAGAAATAGAACACCATGCCCAGCCAACAGTGGGCAATTGACAACCAACATGTATCAAACTTCGTTTTAAATGTTTGTTTGTATAAAGTGTTCAAGAAAATGCTTGCAAATGCCTGAACACCAGGCAACAATACGTTATGAGGTCGATGCAACAAGCTGACAAGTAATATCCATGACGAAAGAGACCACTTCATAAGAGACCCAATGAAGTGTATTTTAAGCTTCTCTTGCCTGGATACAGTTAATGTAAACTCTTGTACTGTCATAAGCAACAAAAAGCACCAGAAAAGTCTTGCTTCAGTAATGCCTCTGCAACATACACAATTGCAAATGTAAATGAAATAAAATATTTCAGCATTCAAATGTTAACACTGAAAGATCAAATAATATCTAATACTTTCTGATTATATTCTCAACGCAGACAATCTTCAGCCTCCTCCTCTCTCATAGGCACATTTAAAAGCATTGATAATATATTCATAATTTAATTTTAAAATAAAGTAGAAATAATAAAAATGAATTTTAGATTTGACAGTGCTTTATAAACACTGCACTGTAACATGAAGTTGATGGTAAACATACTGAATAGAGTATTTTCAAAAAATTCAAAACTATAGGTAATATACATTTCCTTTTAGTAAAGGAAGAGTCAACACACTTACTTTAAATCAACACTACTATCAAACAATGTGAGAACTGCACCTGTAGCAGCTCGATACAAATAAACCATGAAGAGAGACAAGGAACATAAAACCACATACAACCCTCTCAAAATGATGCTCTGATCTGAGAGAATCCATTGGCAATAACCCACATAAAGTCCATTTCCTAAAAGCCCTGAAAAGAGAAAAAACAATTCCAAAATAATCTTGAAGAAACAAACTCATGAATTGATTACTAAAAGCAAACAGTTACCTAAGATAAAAACTAATGAAATCGCTCCTATATTGTGTGGTTCATGTAACCAATCACTGATGTCAGGAACAGAAGCCCATTTATCACCTGTCTGATTAAGTTTACGAAGAATTCTATGACATATTATTAAAATTAAACTCCAAAAGATAATTATATTTTTAAAACTACCACTTAGGTATGATATTTGGCACTGCTTGCTTAGGACAAACATTAAAAATGTCAACCATCCAAAATACCAAACTTGATGTTCTTCTTCAATAAAACTGGATGACAAAAAACTAATAAGATGTAATCCTGATCCAACCAAAAACCATTTCAGTGCCTGGTTTCTTGATGACTGCAAATAGTAATTAAAATTATTACTGTCTTGACATTTCCCCTCAATAAAATGACCAAATGAATACAACTAACCTGTGAAAACCATGAAATGGTGCACGAATTGGTAATAATAGAAATATTGATAGATATCAAAACAATATTAGGTAATGTTACTCCCAGAGCATTACCCATATTAAATTTACAAACAGCACTTTCTGATTCGCTGCTCAAGCAATAAAGAATATTGAAAAAGGATAATGTAAATATAAATATAAAAATATGAAAAATCCCTGAAGATGTATTTATGATGTTTGTATTTTGAAAGAGAAGAATTCCACATATCTGAAATTAAATTCATATTTAAAGTTTTTTAAAATTTATGAACAGTAAAAAATGGACTTCAAAAATTATTTTTAGTTTCTTCTTCAGAACATAACAACTTAAATATTTCATAATCACTGTTTCAAGCCATTCATACCTGAAGATTAATACATATTGCTATTAAAAGGCAAAATACGTCTTGGGTAACTCTTATGTTCCCTAATATTTCACTCATATCTTCCAAGGAAGACTGATAAAGTTCTTCTGATTTCTTTGCATCATGGACTATTTGATAATTAGATTTTATCCATAATTCATGCAATCGAGTTGCTTCTTCGTATTTTAAATAGGCTTCTAAACAGAACACAATAAGATTTTTTAATAATAATCAATACTGTAAAATAAAACTTTAATAGCAATAAATTATGTCTGCATAGTTACTGAGTGGTTTGGGTCAAGTATTGGCTGTTTCTCATCCAAGCTTGGATAAAGGAGGAGATTTGAAATAAAAATGAGCCAAAAGGTAACAGCCATAACACATGTTGAGGATCAACACCTTAGTTGAAATACTTATTCAAGTAAAGTATTCAGCACCAACTAGTTTCTGGTCAACAAGTTTTTTTCATCCAATTATCTCAAAATAATAGCATGATGGAAACAGCACATAAAGCTTCTACAATGGTCTATAGCAGCATTTCTAGAATAACTCAGTCATCCAATAAAGAGGAACAAAAAATCATGAAAAAATAGGATGAAGATTTTTCCACATTCTTCGCACACAAATTTAATTTATTTATTGATATGTTAAACATAAAAACACTTTCAAAACTGGCAAAGTATATATAAGCAGATTCACAGAAGAAAATAAATATTTAATTTATTTATTATTTATGTGTCATTGCCTAATGGAAGAGCAATTTTTTTCTTAGCTCCTAAAGAAATGTTGTACTGTGTACATATTGAGATGTGACATATTCATCTGAAGTATGAATATTATAAATATTTTAGATTTGGAAAAAAAAAAAATAGATTAAGAAACAAAACAATGAAGCCATTAATTATCTGATATCGTCGTAAAATAGGAGAATCTAGGAAAAACCCGTACACGACGTGACAGGGGAGCAATAAGAAATAAACAAATGGAAGATTTATTTACATTCTCAAAACATTTGGACACTATGAATAAAGTAACATTAATTTTATTTATTTACATATGAACAATGCAATATCTGACCAGAATAGAGACTAGTAAATGATAGAATTCAAAAAACAAGTGATAAGTGTCTTAAAAATTACTAAGAAGAAACAAAATTTAGCGCGATCTAAGTAGCGTAGTTCAAAAATTTGGAACACACGGTTCGGGGAAGATCACCTCCAGACGTGGAGAGTGGACGTGCCGTGGTGGGATTCGGTGGAAATTAAGGATTTTTGAGGGATATTTTTTAAATGGACTTAAATTAGAACTTTTACCGCGAGACAGGATGGGAAGTCAAACAAGAAACTGTTTGAAACATTTATTTTAATTTTTAAGTTTTATGAAGTATGAATGTGTGTTACCTTACGATGAATGTGTTTTTATTGCATTTATTGTAAATAGTAACTTTTAAGGAAGAGAATTATTTTGTTTGTATTCTGTTTGTTTAAAATATATAATGTCCTGAACTGAAGAAGTCAGGTAAAGGTTGCCGTAAATAAATAGCAGGACTACACTGTTGCCGTGCGACTTACAATTAATTTATTTTTTATTGGCAGTAGTAAAATCCACAGTTTCTCTCCATTATAATACTAGTTATTTCTCGGCCTCGTTCTCGTATGATCAATTTTTTCCTAACCCACATATATGAATCACCTCCTTTCCCTGAGATTATTGCAATAAGCAGAGCTAGACAAACTGTAAACTGATAGGCGGGGATTTCAAGGCGCAAAATGTTTGTTTACATTTTTGGGCCCGGGGCAGTGTTGAAACGTAGCCTTCCCCCCACCCACACAAGTTGTATCAACAACCTGTATGAGGTTGTTTTTTTTTTTCAACAAATAAAAAAAATACTATTAAGCTAGAAAACGTTTTTGGAAATATATTTTAAATAATAGTTTTAAGTACTTTGTGATCAAATAATACTATTTTCATGGTGAGCTTAAAACCCTAAGAAAATTTGTTGTCTTTAGTTTGAGTTTCATAAAATTATTTGTTGAATTGAAATGATGCCTTATTTTACGTGGCGAGACTCAGGTCATGTTCACTCTTCAGCCAGATCACTTTGTCAGCCACTTATGAAAAACACGAAATAATAAATATGAATTTCAGTAGAACCTATTTTAATGTTAGCATCATTTGATTCGTTTCATAGAGTCCTACCTCATAAATATTTCCTATAGTAAGGTAAAAAAATTAAATGTAAATTTTACGAAATATCAGACTTCTGTACCGCGAGTTATAAGGTTATAATAACGGGTTTCACGAGTTTTTTTTGACGTTTTTTTTTTTTTTGACGTAAGACGTTGCTGTCTGCTGCATGCCTGCTCCTAGTTGAGACTCTTCATGCTGGGTTTTCTGTTGGTATACAGATTATTACGACTCCTCTGCCTCGTACAGTGAAGGGGTACGGGAGTTTGGGTGATAGGATGAAGGGCATTTCGTTTAATAAAGATGGGCCGCCGACCTATTTGCTGTGATCGACTGCGACGAAACAAATTCAGACAATGACGAAAGGAGAGTCCGCTGGGGAGACTAACAATATCAAGAACACGGAAGAAACGAGTCGAGCCCTTGTTCCACCAAAGTGCGACACATAACTTACACAACACAGCTGATCGCTCGAAAGTCATGAAAAAGTCGCAACTCGTCCGACCGGACCGAACTACGTAACAGAGAAACAAAACGAGATCAGTGACTAGATCCCAGCGACGCCTCCGCCAAGAACATTACGAGCGTAGGAAGGGGAGAATGGTCGGGCGGTAATGGAGGGAAAGGTGTGCTGGAAACTAGCCCGAGAGAAAACTTTACTTCCAAAAACATTGGAATGGTTATTTATCGGGTCCGCTTTAACACGTTGTAAGATAAATCTTACTCCGTGGCTTTACATTCGCTGAAGATTCGTTCGAAGAACTCACTAAAAACATTCGCTGTAAGATTCGTGAAGGGACGCTCGCGGAGAACACCAACAAACGAGTAGTTTTCCGAACTTACTCTCTCGCGGCACTGCAGAGTACAGCAATAACTCGATGAGAATGGTTCGTGAACGTCATCCGGATATTTACCATTAACAAATTCTGAAGAACGCACACGAATGTCCCAGTGCTATTGGTAACATCGTACGGGTATGGTAGGAGTTGGTACATGGACAGACAAATTAATACAAACTTGGCGCCACGTTTCGAACAGCTCAGTTTCGCTCCTCTTTGAAGGCGTTTAAGGATCATACATTTCAAACTTCCCGCCTCGAATTTCGTTTAAAAGGCCGCACGAATTATTTCACAATTGACAAAAAATTAATTTTTGTATAAAGCTCTTTAAAATTGACTTTCAACTGCTTCGAAAAATCACCAATAGATTGCACCACCTCCTGGGTGACCGCGACGAAAGATTTTATCATTGTCAGATTTCCTGGAATCCAATTTTTTCCATATCAGACGCGACGAGCTCGTCATGTTTGAAAGTAAGAGGAGTCCGCGACTATTTTCGTACCAATCGTGCAGAAAAGCTAAGCAATACGCGTATTGGGTGCATTGAAAGTTGGTGGTACGTTGAAAGCAAGCAATTATTACGTAGTTTCTTTGAACCTGCGCTTTGAGACGCGGAGCGAAAAAGCAGAAAGCATGAATGGCGTTAAATTCGTAAGTAGAAAGCTTAATTTCGTTCAGAGGTAACCATGACAGTCTCTTCAATACTAATTGATGTTTACGACAAAGTAATAATCTTTGTCAATTATGTGTCGCTTTTTTTCAGAATTCTCTTGTCTGCTCAGAACACAGAAGGCGACGCACAAAACTTCTCGTCACTGTTTCTGCTAATGCATCTAAGCAATATTTTGCAGCTACCGAGTGGCGTATCTCTTGGCAAAGCATTGGTTTAAATGGAGCTATTCACTCGCCACCAGCAGCGACGACGTTCGCCGATCACCAGCAAAACACGGTTCTAAATGGCAGTCTTCACACTAGACCACTCGGACACGCCACTGAACCTGTTAACTGCCTTGCCCAGGGGCGGACCCAGCCGATCATTTTGGAGGGAGCAATCATAGATTTTTTTAAATAATAAACATTGGTAATTATTTTGTTTCCTATATTATTTCAGTGGTACATATACCTTTTGCGGCTTCCACACGCAACCGATCTCTATAAATGAGGTCTCTAAAGAAAGAGAATTTCAGGACGTGACGAATTGCACTTTGATTTAAAAAATATGAAGGATTTGTTTAAAAACGCATTCAAATATTCATGTCAAATGTAACCTGCAACAGCTATATTGTTAAATAACTTCTAAACAAAGCGTTCTAAGGCCTTAAAACTGGAATTTTAAGGTCAAAGGCCTCAAAGACACATTCCTTACACCGTAATCGACAGGATGATATTTTCTTGGAATTTCTATTAAATTTTTGTTGGTTCGGCATTTTTCGATACTACCAACGCCATCTATATTTCAACCCTTGGCGATGGTGGTCATCTTTGTGACGTAACGCTTAGTAGGCTTAGATTACTCTATCTTATACTATTTACGCTTTTTGTGTACACCGTGGTTTGCGCTGACTGACAAGGTTTATTTGCATAATTATTAATCCAAGAGTGGCTGTTTCAGCAACAACTAGTAGTTCTATTAATAGTTGCTTGTTTCCGATGGAGATTGTTTCTTATCAGTGCAGTGAAAACATTCATTTAATATTTTGCTGAGATCTACAAGAAGTGTACCTAATTGTGGAGGAATGAGGGTGTAAAGTGAAGAGTGAAGTGTTTCGTTAGGTTTGGTTTGTGTTTCACCTGCACCGGCATTTTCGTTATCAGTAGGGATTCGATGAAACTTTCAAATCAGCGTTTTCTTAGCGTAGCTTTCTCAAGAGTAAAAAGTTTTCTTAGTATTTTTTTAACTATCACGAAAAACGAAAAGCTAACTGTCAAAGAATATTGAATAATTACTTCAAATATTTTTAACGAAGTGTGAATTGTTACAAGAAATCTCTCGATAATACTGAATTAATCTTTATTGAAAATTTATTTTCAACATCAAGTGCATTGTTTTTTTTTTTTTATTTTTGATAGTGTTAGTACATTGAAAGTTACCTTTATACATTTTTAAACAAATTCGTTTCGTTAACAACTTTCACTTTTAGAATGGAAATAGAAGGATAGGGAAGAGTGTGAGGTTTAACATGCAAGAGTTCTCGCAAGAGTACGGGGTGGTAGTAGGGGAAAATTGTGCTACGGCACAACACAAAGTACAAACTTTTTAAATTAACTGAAGTAAAATAGCTTGAAATAAATGAAGAAAATCAAAACGCGCTAGCCTACAATACTACGTGAAAGAATTAAAAAAAAAAAAAACAACAACCAAGTTTAAATTTATAGAAAGAATAGCGCGTCTCTTGACAACTGCCAACGATCACAATCCAGACACACGATTGCTGTATCTGTAAATGTTGGTTGTATCTAAAACTCTGTCCATCAACGCCCAGCAGTAAACTTATATTGCAAACAATCCACCATTTGATATTAAACTTAAGGTGTCAGTTCACTAAGATACTCAATACGAAAACATCAATTGAGCAACATTTCAATGTGCATAAGTGAAGTCTAAGCATACTGAATTGTGGTATGGTAACAAATGAAATTTATTACTCAAAGGTGAAAATATTAATTTTATTATTTTTTTGGCTCGGAATTGCTTTTCTTGAGGCACGTAAGAACACAGAAAATAATCCAACACCTTTTAGTAAACAAATAATATTTCAATTTTCGCACCCCACAAAGTTCCTTACCCCTCCTAAACCGCCTCTCTTCCTCATTACAAATCCAGAAAAGTTAAATAATATTGCAAAGAATATGATTGTACTTGCCTGATCCTGTATTTTAGCATGAAAAACTTTACTTGGCTTTCTCAAGAGCGAAAACGTTTTGTAATAGAAAGAAAGCGGAAAGCTGTCAAGGAAGACTGAATTACTACTTCAAATATTGTTTTTAAGGAAGTGTGAATTTGTTCAAAAAACATGTCTACTTTATAATACATAATAAACTTTTATTGAATTTTTTTTTCCCAACATCAATTTCATTGTTTTTAATTTTGTTTGATATTCTGTAAGTACGAAGTTGAATTTATACATTTTTTAACAAATTAATAGGTTTAATTAACAACCTTCTTTCCTTCTGAATGGAAAGGACACGCCAATTGATAGGGAAAGGATGGGGATTAACATGCGTGAGTTCTCGCACGGGTACGCTAGTTGTGTATTGTTTTTGTAGTGTATACGTGATATTATACAATATTAATTCGAATATAAATATTTTAATGAATTTTGCCAAATAAAAGCTAACAAACGAAAACTCTAGGCCTTTTAGGGGGGTTATTGTCCCAATGCCCCCCCCCCCCCGAACTTGCTGCCGGGCATTCCAACCGGAGCGTATAGCGACGCCACTCACGAATTCTGGCTCCCTTGCGGCAGCGCCGCTCGGCGGTGGCTGTGTTTGAAGGAGCTCGGTCTCGGTTCTCGACGGCGCCACAGAAAGGTTTCACGTGGAGCGCACCTAACCGTGAGCTTCATAACGAAAACACGGTTGATGGGAGTGAGCGCGATCTCAAGTAGCGCTAGGACACCAAGTAGAGGGGTGCCAACAACTGCAACGCCCGAGGGGCCGCGTCATCAGCCCCTTCAACGGCAGCACAGCCACAATCTCTTTCGCTCGCTCCCTGGAGTCAATGGCGCAGCACAAGAAGCCATCACTTAATTCTTCATGATCAAGGTGACCCAAAGATAATGAATTATAATGATGTATCAATATTAAGCAAGTTTTTCTTCGCGTCAGTGAGATGGATTGCACGTGCAATGCATGATTTCATCACGAAAGGTGGCGGTGTTCTTATCCGTTGGATGGTGGGATAGGCGCCAACCTACATGTCGTCTTAAAGGTTTTCCCCAACCAGGTATATCTTAGCAGCGCGGCTCCGCCGGGGCAAACTCTAAGCTCTCGACAGGTCTCCCGTGAACATGAATGGTAGTGTAGAGCATGCAAGGGCCACAGCACATTGCTACTACAATTCCCCTCCAGAGAACGGCTGACTTCTATCTAGGTGGTGTTGAAAATCCTGCCAATGTCTCAACTCAATCCCTACGTCCTTCCGATAAGAGACACCGCAGTAACGCCATCCCTGAGCCCCATCTGCCAGTTTTGATTGATTGATTAAGGATTCCGGGAGCGTCAATTGCTAAGGTCATTAGTCGTGTAAGTGTAGTACTTTTTTTAACGCGAAAGGTGGCGCTGATCTTCCACGTGCTAGATAGCGAGATTCGGCGCCAACCTATGGCGGCTTGCGAGAATATTCCGTCACCAGCGTGTCACCGCCTCAGCCGGGACAAGCTCTAGGCTCCCTCGACACGTGTGATAGTGCAGTGCATGAGAGTGTAAGTGTGTGTAAGTAAGGGGTATGGAGAGGACAAGGAAGAGAAAGGAAACATCCGTTGCTCGTTAGTTATAGTACTGCTCAGGCATTCGCCTGCTGTTGAGACCAGGCAAATTGGAGATGGTGGAGTGACCACGGAAAACAAGACCAGAGCAGCCGGCAGCTCGAATTCTCTTCCAAACAGGCTGAATTCGACCGAGCTGTATAGCTAGTGTCGAAAATCCTGCCACCGTCGGGACTCAAACCATAGGACCTCACCATCAGGGGCACTGCAGTGACATCAGTTGATACCCTAAGCCCTTCGCCGATAGTATACATTAGTAGTGTGATCCTCCCAAAAGAATTGTCAGCTATAAGCAATTTCGGCCATTTCCAATGCCAGTACCAAATTTCTTAATTTTACAATTGAAACAAACATGAATAAATTTAACTTTAGCAACGTAATAGTCAGCTTTTTCAAGGTAAAAGCTTGTGTGAAAGAATAATATTTCACAAAAGCTTGCCTTGATTACATTGAAGGGATCAGAACTTAAAGTAAAAGAAATGTAATTACATCAAATCACATCCAATATATTACCTTCCTTAAATCATAAGAATGTTATCTACATCATACAATTAACATGCCCGGTAACAATAACAACTAGTGGTGCAACCGATTATCACAGACTTTCTCGTACTAGTTAGTTTTCTAATGTCTTTGGTCTGGGCTAGTTTTTCGGTCTTGCCCCATTCTCTTGCATGCTGCCATCTATTGCCACTCAAAGTAATTTCTTTTTATTTTCCCAATTTTTTGGTCTCTTACTGGTAAGATCTAAATATTACTTTCAAAGTATTAAAGAAAAGTAAAACCTCATCCTATATGAAAACTTTTTTGAAAAATTTGGAAATGTTTTTAAGAAAATGTCTTTTAAGCGTTACTGATTATGTAAACATTGAAGGCCACAGAAAACTTTTGAGTTTTTGAGGAACTTAACTCAAAATAATCTGAAACATTTCCACTCATAAAAGCAATAATGTTTCCAAATCCCGGAAATGTGCATATTAAAAACAATTACATTTGCGCAATTTTTGTGAAAACAAAAGAATACAGAAAAATGAATTTTGTGTCATCTTAAACACAAATTGGCCCTATCTGTACAAACAGTTAAAAAAAAAAAAATGAGCCACTTTCGACAAAATGGCATTTGAACATTTCCTGAAAATGTGGAAATTTGAACTCAGTTTCAGAGAAAACTTCTGGGTTTATGAGAAACTTCATAAGACATCATTCAAAGGACATGGATTCATAAATTCATAAAATTTGAAAAACAAAGGAAAACAGCAAAATGAAGTTTCTGTCATCTTAAGCAGTTCACTTAGCACTACCTCTACAGTACCAAAAGTTTTTAAAAACATTTGGGGCTGTTTTTGAGAAATTCTTTTTTCTGATTTTTTTTTTTTTAATATTACATGTACTTTATGCAATATTAGAAGTAGGAAAACTGCAAAAAAATTTCAAACTTTTGAAATTTTCGAAAATTTAGAGTTAACAGAGAAAATCGAACCTGTGCCACCTTTTATAAATTTAATTTACTCTATTCATTCAAGAAATTCGATGAAGAAATTTGGAGCAGTTTTTGAGAAAATTTTGACCCTGACCCTTCATGTAAAGTACCCTCCAAAATTAAAGAAAGTTATTCCAAATTGCCGAGCTTTGAGTGGTTGATTAAATTTTTTTGTTGGGTAGTGTGAAGGATGTATGAAAGAACCATGCAGGACTCATGTTCATTGCAAACCTTAACTTTTCAAAAATTACAAAAGTTCAATATTTTTTTAGAGTATCCAACAATTAAAATCTGCTCCTTAAATATAGAATTTGAAATAATGTCATGTACAATTTTTCAAAAATTTGAGTACTTTTCATGAAATTTTGGGATAAAGTGTGTGCGTTTTAGCACTACTAGTTTTTTAATATCAGGAGTTTCATAATGAGTCACACATTTTGAAGTTTCCTATTATCCAAATATCTTTCCATGATTGATTGTTCTATTATAGAGACAGGAAATTAGAAATTAATATAGTAATAGAAATGTTTACAATGAACTATTACCTGTAGTATGATATGAATTAATTTCTTTAAAATGATCTGTCACTTGCTTGGCATTATAATAATAAGCAAATAACTTTTTCTTCATAGAGAACTTCTGGAAGAATTGAGGTATCAATTTTCCAATATTACACTTAGGAATGGGCAATCCCAATAATACTGATAAAGTAGGAACCAAATCAATTTGAGATACTGAACTAACTCCACTGAAAAGCATAACAAAATATACAAAAGAGATATAATGTTTTTAATACATTTATTAGTTAATATAGAATAAAATAATTAAGATAAATTTGGCACCAACCTATGAGCAGGAGAGTGCTGTCTCACACCAAGCGTTATAATAGGAACAGTGGTCTCAGCAGTTGTTGCTCCTCCATGCCCTCCAGAATCTTTCATTCCATGGTCCCCACAAATTATTAATATGGATCGCAGTGACAGTGTTTCAGCCTAAAAAATTGCATAGAAAATCTGGGAAACCGTGAAGACCAGAATCAGGTAGATAAGACTAGATATTTATTTAACCACTCAAAATAGAATGAAAAAGTCTATGTATCAACATTTGGTGAAGTATACTGTACTATTCACATTTCCAGTTGATAGATCACAACAAACAAATTTATTTTTGAACATGATTTTTAAGTGTGATTTCAGTAGAAGGTAATTAAAACACAAAACTTCTTCAATCAATTAAGGTAATTTGTAAAAAGAGATCATTCTTAATCCACAACAAAATATCGCATTAAAATTTTAAATATTTAATTTTTAATATTAATATATGCTATTGATATGTTAGAGAGACAGCACAAAGTTAATGAAGCTAACAAAAAAAATACTACAAAAAAGACTTGTGAAAGAAGCTTACCCATTCTATCATTGCATAATGTATTTTTTTCACAATAAGATCCATTTCTAATAATTTTGGATTAATATGAGCACTCTTAGGTCCTTCTAGATGACCAATATGATCTAATCCTAAGTAATGTAGGATCATAATCTCCCAGTCATTAGCTGCTAATTCATTTTCTAAATGCTGTGTAACATTATTATCAACCTATAAAAAATGCAAGAATGTAGAAATAATTTTGTGGGAAAGATCATTATCAAGTAACAACATGAAACTTGCCTCTGTAAAGTCAGATACAAAAAATGATGTAGTCCCTTCCTTCCTTTTAAAGCTTGATGGGAATAACTTAATCCAAGTGTCATCACCATAAAAGATCACAGATTTCCCATTATTTTCAGCTTGTTGAACAATGTTATCTTCCAAAATACTGCGACTTTCCAAATTATAAACAATGTCAATGAAGCTAGGAACTGTACCAGTTGTCATGGCCTGAAATAATACATTACAAACTCCTACTTCATTCTACTTTTAAATAATAATTAAAGTATATAATAATTGAAGTACAAAAACATATCTTACTTTCAATCTCGGCATTGTAACCGTTGGTGTTTGAACATTTCCTACTACAATAAAGGCTTCTTTTCTCTCCAACATGGAATGAACATATGGCATATTGATTTTACTGTGCAAATGATCAACAAAGTCCACTCGAAGAGCATCTATTACCATAATTATTACCCTGTCTATGTGGTTTTGATAAACATCACTCACGTTTATCCTAGAAATATAATACATTATTTTACATCATTTTACCATTTAACGGACATGTGAAATTTTCATACATACTTTGCACTTCCAATATGAGAAGGAATATCCTTGTAAGTTGATGATGTTTCAATGTTATTAGTCATGGGAAGAAATGCTCGAATGAATACAAACAGAACATAAGCTCCTGATATCATGCAATACAGATTCCGCCACAATGAAAAGTAATTCATGATTCCTGAGGTGAAAACTAGATACAACTTTCAAAAACACTAACTTTGAGGTTAAATACAAGATTTGCGGCAGAAACACATTTAAGTTTATATAATAAGTTATAATTTTAAACATAACAAAAAGCAGAAATATTGCTTTTGTGATTTCCGAGTAAAGTTGCCAATAAATTCAATACTCGGAACAAATCGAAATAGCACGGTAGAACTTTTCACATTCTCAAACTTTGCGCACATTTCTGGGAAAATGCTGTCGATGAAACAATACGCATCAAGTAACCAATAGCTGAACGAATTCACGCTTAAATTGTTGCTGCCAACATTGCATAATTTTGATAAGGAAAGGCTATATGAATGATGGATTTAAATCAGCATTAAAATTATTATATGTTAATTAAAACAAGAAAACAAAATATTTCGAAGCCATACATATCATCATTTTAATAATGTAGCTAAAAACTATTTTGTTATTTGGTCTGCAGTATTTCCTGCAGTGTCAGTTACTGTGTTTGAGTTTTCGTTCAATACGAAGGAATAGGATTCGCAGGATTCTGTCAGCGGAAACTGTCAAAAAAACCCTGAAGTTTGTACAGGTTATACCTCATTTTAATTGCATTATTTGGTATGAATCTTGCAAAACATAATGGAAGATTATTTTTCCATATTTATTCTATTGATAATACGACTAAAATAATTGAAATTTATGTATTTTTTCCCCCTCTTTAAGCAGATTTATATCGTTTCTGCAGATCTAATCGCAATGCAAGCAGAATCTGTTTGGAAAGAAGTAACGAGTGATATTTCTGGTGATATTGCAGATTCTTGGTGGGCGAAAATTGTGAAACAGTATTCTGATGATGAAAGAGTCACACATGATATGGATTATTTAAAAGAGACTTTTGAGCGATTTGAATCTGTAAGAAAAGAATTGGAATGCCCAAATGCTGTTGCTTTAGCTTTGATATTTCTTTAGTAAGTCAACTCTGAGTTATATATTGATTTGAAAATAAGTTTATCATGTGCATGTTTGTCATTTCCATTATTTTCATTTTCAGCTATGATTATGACCCAAAAGCAATGGATTGCACAGACAAAAATGTTGAACATTTCAAAGAATTTGCTTCTGATGCAGGAATTCCAGATGTAATGTTCTAATTAACACATTATATGTTATTATTTATTAAATGAAGAAAAATTATAGAAATTATTATCATTGCAGGAATCCCCTCTCCGTACCAAAGTTTTACATTTAATGGAAGCTGCCTCAACTCATAGCACTGAGGAACATAAGACTGATGGAGCATTTGGTAATGAAGACAGGCATTATTTTTTAGATCTTGACATAGCAGATCTTGGCTCTGCACCTGAAAAGTATTCTGTTTATGTTGCAAAAATTAAGAAAGAATATGCCTTCCTACCAGAAAGCATGTACAAAAGTTTGAGAATAAAGGTAAGCAACAGGTTGCAAGAAGACACACTATTAAAATTACTAAGTATAAGTGTACTTTTTAGTATGGGTTTTGTTATTTCTGTATTGATATGATTGATGTGTGTGACTTTGGGGAGGGGAGGTCATATATTTTTGTTTGTGAGCTCCCACGAACAGAGTCATTGATACTTGTCTGGCAGGATGATCCGCGTGTCAGTCCATCGAGCTGATGTTTCGACCATTGTGTTGTGGCCTTCTTCAGAGCTATACTACTCATTCGGCAGTATAGCTGTGAAGAAGGCCACAACACGGTGGCCGAAACAGCTTGATCTATTGAGATGCAGCCTATCCCAGACAGCCAAGTATCAAGGTCATATATTGGTTTATCATCAAAGAAATGGTAAAAACAGTGCAGGGATATTTGAGAAGTATCAAATAATTTAGAATTTTTAATTTGCAGTACCTTACCCTAAAAATGCGTTGTTTGATTCATAACAAAATAAAATTCTACATTTTTCAACATAAGATTATTATTATTATTTTAGTACTTAGTAATTTTGAGATTGATGACATAAATTAGTGAATATCAATTGTATGTTACAGGTTCTAGAAAGTCTCCTGCAGATCCCAAATATATATGCTACTCGTGAATTTCGAGAAAAATATGAAAATCAAGCCAGAAGAAATGTTGAGGATGAAGTCAAGAGTTTAAAAACATAAGAAGTTGTGCATATCACACAAGTGTCACTAATAGTGATATTCAGTGTGTGTAGGTTGTATACATTCTCTTTGTGCCTGTGTTTAAGCTACCGTTATCTACAGAGATATACCATCTAGTATTGTCTACTATATAAGTGTATCTAGAATGATGAATTCTTGATAATTGTACCAAAGCATTTGCTGTTACTGTCAAAATAGATCTCAATGTGGTGCAAGGTGTGCCTTCGTCCATTTGATAGCATATTTATGAAAATTTTATTTATTCAGCAGAGTACATAGGCAGATAAATAATTTCATTTCATAGAATGAATTAGCGTATGTTATTTGTCAATGTACTTTGAAAAAGTATTCTAGTCACTATCTGTGTCAGGTATGTTCAGATAACTCTGATTCTTTGACTTTACATTCAGACTGGCCCAAGTTTCTTTGCATGACATCATAATGTTTAGTAACTGTTTACCATTATTTTGGCTCTCAGAAAAACTGTAACTTAAGTGTAGCCAAATAGTTGTTTTGACTTTCATTTACATATTGCACTATCAGTGTGCATATGTATATGAACTTCATAGCTTTGTGGTCTTACATCATTGTATCTGCTTGTTATTCGCTGCAAAGTCAAAAGATGTTATTTCCTTTTGTTTTAAAATAAAATTTCCTGTCTTCAATATATTCCAATGGGTCAGTGTTGCAAGAGAAGTATGTTATAAAATTCTCATGTACAGTAGCTCCCTGTAAGTAAGTGGTAATTTTGTCTCTTCATTTTAATGTGAATTTTATTGTGGAAATAATGAAATTTTGTGAGATGACCCGTTTGTTATAATAAGTGCTTTCATAACATGAGATGTAATTTTTCAGAAGGCTCCCATGTAAAATCACTGTCACGATTGGGACTGAGGTGCTACCTGATTTTAATGACAGAGAATTTCATTTATGTAAGCCAAGTGATCTGGATATGGGATCTAATGTGCCAACCACATTTTGCCCAGCAAAAGTTCCATTCCATCATATTGAAACTCTGCCATGGTTGTTTATCAATGCAATTTTTAGGAATATGTCCTTGACATATTTTCTCATAGCTACTTTTTTAAGTTATTTATTTTATGTATGTTATGTGGTAACTTATATTGATGTTTTTGAAGTTAAACTTCAATTTCTTGATTAAAAAATGGATTTAAAAATATCTGTGGCTAAAGGCATTATTTTTAAGCTCTCTTTAGAATGAAAATTATGTGTAAGAAAGACAAGAAAAAAATAGTTTTGTGGATGTATCTATTGTTTTACATTTATATTTTATTTTTCCATTATTCTGTAACAGACCTGTGTAATTCAGAAATTATAGTTTATATTCTGAACATGAATTAAACTGTTTGTTCTCTTATCATTTTTCATTGTTCTGTGAGATATTTGGTTAGTAAGTAATTTTATTCAAAAAATCCTTACAGTCCTCCATTTCCCTGTACTCTGATGCTCTACATTCTGTATTCCGATAACGAAGATACCTCCTTTACTTTTGTGCCTTTCAATTAATAATTTCTCTTCAACACTGGGAAAAAGTAGAAATTAAATTAATTTGAAATGAAACATTTAAATCAGAGCTGATCTAAGTAGATATGTATTACTTATCTAGAAAATACAAAATTAAATTGTAAATTGTGCCATCCAGCTTTTTTATTTGAATGTATTTTACCACTTAATATTAACTGAACATGAAAAGCTGAATTTCAGTTCAAATAATGGGAATTATGCCAATGTAAAGTTCAAGAACAATATAGGAACTGCCCTACACATTAATAAATCTTTCTTATGAAAGTGAAATCACAGATATTAATTAGGTTATTTCTCAACAAGGTGCTTAACATTGCTTCAAGAAACAGTTGGCAAATTCTGAGAATTATTCATTTTTGTGTCTGATAAAATACTTCCTACAAAATAATTCAAAGCCATTGCATACATTCTGTGTTGTAAGATCTACTAAATAATTAATAGGTACAAGCAAGGCTTCAAATAGAAATTGTTTTCACCAGTTAACTATTATTTCAGTAAACATTTGCTGGAACAATACTGAAGTGAAATGGTTTCTCTTTTTAAAGTTCTTCATTATTTTGAACAACTTGTAATGCTTGATTCACATTTCAACAAGTAACTCAGTGGGTCTGTGATTTCAGTTGTTTTTCTAATCTCTAGAAGATTTATGCCTTATCTTTTGTGATATAGGATGTCTCAGCCAAAAAGGGAGTAACTCTTCAAAATAATACTCAAGAATGTCTTCAGAAACTGAATAGACCTTAGTCATGTACTTCAGTAATATTCTGATTAGTCAATTGTGTAATAGTTTGAGTTACGTACTAAGTGAAATCAATAAATGGAATATTGAGTTTTCAGACATTTTGTGTGTGCCTAGTAAAAGTTTCTATCATATTTTTTTGGAAAAAATGTATGGTGCTAGTAAATAAAAAATCAACAAATGATTTGTGAGTTCCTCATAAAAATATTCAGCTTCTTCAATGGCATAACAAAATGAGTGTGGGACCCACACTGTAGGCCCACCAGCAAAACTTGTAACCAGACCCCCTTCATAAAAATGTAGAGCAAAAGTAGTGTTAGTACATTAAATAATAATATCCCCTAAAACATGCTCTCTTTTACCCTAGCGCGCCCGTATTGCGGGCCTTGTGGACCCGAGTGAAGCCACTGCCGGGCCTACTTTATTAAACAATAATGATGGAAATTCGCACATATCATGCAATTAGTTTTCGACGGCATCCATTATAATATATTTGGTTCGTTTGGAGCAATTTATTAAGTGATAACGCTCACACGGTCTCTCATATTCACTGCATATACATTTGTCACTTGGTTCGTGGAAACTCTTTGTCTGACATCCGGTGGTGGAAAGTGCATTGTCAGGCGCGTGATCTCATACCTTTGCTAGTACCCATCTCTGTCCATTATTTATCATCGCATCAGTACAGAAGAAATCTGGTCATATTTCTTTCTGTCTCTTTTTACTTTTCCATATACATAAGTTTATACTGAGTAATATACGTAGTATGGGGAAGGTTATGTAATGCTGCGCGAAAAAACGGCGGATTTTCGGCAGAAAAAATCATTGCCGGTCCCTAATAACGATAAGTGTATAAGTCCAGTTGCTAAATAAAGAAAAAAGAATCCTCCAACATGTTGTGTGGCCAGAATCCCCGTCTGTGAACACCACTAACGGCTAAACCATACGTAGGATTTTTTCCCAAATATGAGAATCCTCTGTTCATCTGGCTGAAGTCAAAAGCTTTGAGATTCTTAAAATATTCTTTAAAAATTGGACGTACTTTGCATGAAGCCCCTTGGACATTTTCAAAATTTTCTCAAAAAACGGCTCCAATTTTTTTCTTTAAAGTTCTTGTAAGAGTACACTTATAGCATTAGTCATATTTTCACGGGTAACTCTAAATTTTCGACAATTGCAAAAGTTTGAATTTTTTCGGCGTCTTCCTACAACTACAAAATTGAAGATAGAGATTTTTTAAAATTAAATTTATTTTCCTTCAACAGCTCTTTCATTAAGATCGTGTACATTTTTTGAATCTTTTAGTAGTTTTCGTGCAATATTGCATGCAACGTGCAGTTTTAAAAAATAACATTTTTTCAAAAACACTCGAAATTTTTTCTTTAAACTTTTGGTAGGGATAGCGCTAAATGCACTCTATAAAATGACATTAATGCCATATTGCTTTATTATTTTATTTTTCCACAAATTACAAAAAACAATTCTTTTTTACTTGTGTTTCATTAGCGGTATTTTTTTCCACTTCTGAGTACTTGTGCTGTAAATAATGTTGTTTAAATTGTCTCAAAAACTCAACCGTTTACTGTGAAAACTCGCTCAAAATTCCACATTTTCAGAAATGCTTAAACGCCATTTTCTCCAAAAGTCTCCAAATTTTTCTCTCCAAATTTATCGAACGGGTAGTGCTAATCGCACCGTTTAATATGAAGTAAAGTCCCCTAAAAGCGAGCCGAGACCAGTGGAACTAATACGGGAAAGTCTATGTCATTCTCTAGCACCACTAGGTTCGTTCGTTCAGCACTACTCTTAGCGCGTTTGTGTTGGGCAGCTGCAGTTAGTCTTACATCTTCAGGAAAGTTTCTTTTACCATTACATACGCCAGTCTTGACCGCACACACTTCGAAATTCCTATAGCTTTTTTTTATGAAAGTTGCTTATAGATTTTCTAACATTTCTAACTGCTTGACTGTGAGGCAAGATTCAGCTAGGAGCGATAGTGATTGTTTTAGGTGCTCTACAAGCCGTCGGGTTCAGAAACTTTGATGTTTTTTGTCTCCTTTATTGCTTCTTTCACTTTCTTGATAGTAAATAGTTTACATGGTTTCCATCTTCCACATGGTTTTTCCGGTCTTGACTTTTTGTGGTTTACGACTTTCCTAATGTGTATCTCCCATGTATTAATTGGAATGTCTGCTGGAAACATGGCTTTTTCGTGCGTAACATGCACTATGGATTAGCTTTCGCTTCTTGTATAATTTTATTTGCTTCCTTCTTCATGTGTTCCGTTTTCTTCTGGTTTAGTAGTATTTTATATTCCTTCTTTCTTGACCTGTATTCTTCTAAATTTGCACCCTTTAGGAATGTTTTTGTTTTCCTCTGGCTCTCCAGTGGTTTTTTCTTGCCTCATAGCATCTTTGTCGAAACTAACGTTTGCTCATCTCTTTGTGTGGGGAACCGTGATAGTTTATTGCCTCTCAGATCAGGTTCATTGCATTTGTTAGGTTAATGGTTTCCAATTCTTCCTTGATAGCTGGTAGTCTTTCTGTCTTGTCAATTCTTGGTCTAGTTTTACTTTCTTAGGTTCCTTTTTTCTGCTTGTTTGCCCCGTGGTTTCCTTCAACTATAGTGTCGTGAGTACGTGCTTTCTTAGGAGTGTTGCATCTGGTTCTCAGACTTGCTGTTGTTTTGCGGATTCGAACCCTCGCACAATTGTTACATCTCTTGCACTTGCTCCATTGTGGGCTACATATGTTCTCATTTGTCCGTTGTGTATTAGTGTCAGTTCTTCTTGCATTGGGAAATGCACCATAATATTACTGGTCTTTAGTTTGTCTACATCAACTCTGCAATTTAGGTCTCCAGATATCACTGTATTTTTTTCCTGTTATTTTATTTCGTGCTTTGGATAACCTGTCTATTGTCTATTGATGTGGATTCAGGATTGAAGTAAGTACATATGGTATTGATTGCCTTAGTTTTGATGGCTATTACATTTTCATTCCCATGGATGACGGTGAACGGGGCAAATTTTGTATGTATTAAGCACCGGATTTTTTAAATAGTTCGATGACCCTTGCTGAATTAATTTAATAAGTTCGAAATAAGTACTCCAGAATGTAAACATCTGTTATTAACTTTTCGGTTTTGCCTCCTGTGATAAACACTTTCTGCTCCAAAAACACCCAATAATTTACTTCACCCTCCATTTTCCTTCCGTGCCTTTCTGAGTTTAGGAGACTCGACAACGTGTTCCTCGTGCAATCGATGCTAGGAGTAGGCGGCGCCAGGTACGAGAGCAATTTCAGAACGTGCTGCCTGTCGACGCATTGATTAAGGAAGCGAAAGGGGGTGAGAGGTAAAGAAACTAGAACGTTAGATGTACAGATAGTTTGCACAAGATGAATATATTAGTTGTAGACTCAGATAGATAAAAGCAGGTGAATCTGAAAAGTTAGAAAGGATAAAAAGCAATAGAGCGATAGTGAGCGAAAGATAATCGGGAAATGTATCGTCAACTAACAGTAAGACGACCTTGAAGACCGAACAGGGTGGTTACGAAGAGTCGATGAAGAGAGACAAGAAGGAGAGAAGGGCGGAGGCCTCCTGCCCGAATTCGTCACTGACCTATGTGAAAGTTGAAATACGAAAAAACCTTCGGTTCAGTTTCATTTTGGTAAAGTTGATGTACGGCCAATGCTCCGCTTCGTCTGAGAACTTCCTTCCAACTTCCAGTGGGATAAATATTTAAGGGTAACGGTCGTTTTATTACTTCATGTTACTTTCAATTATATCATAATCCTATTTTCAATCAACTTTTAAACAAATAAAAGACTTTTAAAGGTATCGTCTTCTCGTCTCTCACCCGTAAAAGAAGGTGGGTATGAGAGTAGAGAAATTCCATTAGATCAAGAAGGAGTACTAAGGGAGAAGAAAGTCGTACAGAAATAATGGTGCTACAGAATGGCACAGACTTTCCCGAATGAGTTTTCTATTTTCTTTGGTCCCGATTAGCTATTCGAACTTGCGACATATTCTTGCCTGCTGCCATCTATCGCTGTCCAAAGCACTTTTTTTTTTACATTATCCTAATTTTTCGGTTTCCTAACTGTAGAGCGAAAATATTATTTTAAGATTCTTAAAAAACAGTAAAAACACGTCCTAAATGGCAATTTTCTTTGAAAAATTTCGAGCAGTTTCTACAAACTGGCGTTTAAGCGCTACTGTAAGTTCGAAATTTGAAGCTCTTTTTCACAGAAAACTTTTTGAGTTTGCGAAAAACTTCATTTGAAATCATTTTAAATACTTTAACTCACAAATACAATAGTGTTAACAAATTTCTGGAAATGTGCATATCAACGGCGTGAGAGATCTTGAAAAAATTTTACATTTGTATAATTTTTGAAAAACAACAACAAAAAATAAACCAACATTAACTTTACGTCATATCAAAGATTGCATTTACCACCATCCGTTCGAAATGTTTGAAGAAAAAAATTGGAGTTGATTTAGAGAAAATGGCGTTTGAGCATTTCTGAAAATACGGAGTTTTGATCTAGTTTTTAACAAAACTGTAGAGTTTTCGAGAAGCTTTATATGATATTATTTGTAGCACATGTACTCATAAATACAAAAAAGTGAACAAATTGCCACTAATATAAATATTAATGACATAAGAGGCAAGTCAAAAAATTACATTTTGAAATTAAAATCAACAACAAAAGAATAGAGCAATATGGCGTTTATGCCATCTTATAGAGTACACTTAGCACTATCCCTATCAAAATTTTAAAGATAAAAATTTGAAGCCGTTTATGAGAAAAACTTGTTTTTGTATTTCTTAAAAAAATTATACATATTGCACGCAATTTTGCGCGAAAACTACTGAAATTTTCAAAAAATATACATGACTTTA